CTGGACCGGGACTTGACTTTGACTGTACTACAGTGTGTTTGAAGAGAATAGTGTATAATGGCAGAGGTTTGAGTTGTAATTTATAAATTGCCATTTAGGTAGTAAGAAGCTGATAGTTTACTGTAAGAACAAAGGCAAAACCTGACTTGCGAGGGCGTGTGCCATTTCCCAGTGCATATTAAAACTCCTTTGGCACCACAGGTACCAAACTCCTGGTAATAAGCTGGGCTTTGAAGTGGCACCACTTTTTATTATTTCATTGCACCCCTTTCTCCAAAATGATAGAGAGAGAGAGAGAGAGAGAGAGAGAGAGATCGAGAGAGAGAGAGAGAGAGAGAGATAGAGCGAGAGAGAGAGAATTTGTCAGAAATCCTTGGAAAGAATCAGTAAGACTGGCATATTTTTTTGGTTTATAAACTTTATCCATAAAAGTGGATTCTAAAGCCCCCATCTTGGAGCAGTAAAGAAACAGATGCTTTTTCTAACATAAGAGGGATTTTACAAAAGCCAACTTCAAGTTCCTCAAATGTGGAACATATCCCACACCTATTCAAGCAATGTCAATTATAAAGCACTTTTATTCCTACTACCTGTACATACTGATACTGTACATACTGTTTTCTATACAGTAGTTTACACAGTGCTACCTTTTAGGCCTATTTCTATCAAGCAACACTTCTCTACATTTCCTAAGGTATCACGAGAAAGCAGCCAATTAACTGTCTGTCATTTTGAAGCTTTTAGATATGTTAACGAGACAATGACATTTCAGTAGTTCAGAAACACAGACAATAAAGCTTCTTTACTGCAACTGTTATCCAAGCCACGCCCATTCCTGCTCTAACCATAACATTAGTGGATACCCCTCTGACCCTGACCTGTGTCCAAATCTATATCACCTCTGCCCCTGATACACCCGCTCAGCATACCCAAACTTTAGACGTGCAGCCCCCTTCCCCCTCAAAGCCTGCCCACAGGAAGTGTCTCTTTACTGGAGGAAATGGAGGCCAGATGTGGGGGTGTCCCACAGCTTTGGGCAGTGGGGTGAAGGGTGCCTGTGTGACAGGAGGGAGGGGATAGCATCCCTGTTGGAATTTGTACAATTTATCACTTAGTTAGCTTCTATTCTTTGGGATTGGTTTAAGTGTTATTTAAAAGTATCTGACGTGGAAAACGAACAATAATTGAACATGCAATAGAGTTTTGCTTCAAGGCTGCCAACGTTTCACACAAAATATTGCAAGAATAATTGAAAAACCCCTATGTTGAGTCATATCTCACTCACCACCTTCTACAATATCTATTAAATAGGGATTCTGACTCTAAAATTAGCTCTCAGGAAATCTGATATCAAAGCAGTGTGTTTGCAGTCATCATTCAATCTTAGTAGGTTACACTTTGGAGATCTCTGCTTTATGACTGCTCATTTCTTTTGTTGAATTAGAATAGATAGACTGAGGTCATAGCTAAAGTATTGGAAATTCCTGTGGATGTCAGCCATGCTATAATATAGACATGTTCCCTCACACACAGCAGTTTCACTGTGTCTTACTGTGATATGTTAGCTGTGAGCTACTTCAGTCCGTTTATAAGTAGATTTAGCAGAACTGGTGGATTCAGAACTAATTCCAGTCAAGTTGTCTTTTCCAGCATTTTTGGTTTCGTTGGTCACAGTTTTGATGTCTTTTCATTGTTTGGTGTGTTGACCACTGCAAGTGAGAGAATAAGAAATAGAAAAAGTGACCGAAACATTATGTCACATCCCTGACGAGGAAATGAAATGTGCAACATCAATCAGGCAGAGTAGAGATCAAAGAGCGCCCCACACCCCTCCATCTGGTTCTGTTTGCGGATAATTTTTTCTCCCTGCTTCTCTCCTTCGTTCGTTCCCTTTTTCTTCTTTGAGTGTGGGTCCTTCTTGTTTTTCCTGTCAGGCATTCCTCCATGTTACAGAGACAATGACATAGTGGCACGCGAGGTTGAACCTGCCAGAGAACGATACCTGTCTGTTCTTAAACACCCCTCTTTTTATATCTGAACTGAAGATTATTCACTGTTTCTCTGATTGAGTAAAGGTATCAGGTATAGCCATGCCCTGTCATCACATCTATACGTCAAATGATGAAGTAATGTTTGTGTTACTGGGATGTTGGTGTATATATGCATGTCTGTCTATGCATGTGTGTGTGTGTGTATCTGTGTGTGTAAGGGCATGTAGGTGTGTATATGTGTGCATATGCGTGAGGGTGTGTATATAACCTCCACATGGGATAATATATTTTGCCGTCTCTCTCAGTGGAAATATTTAGGCTAAGACCTCGTTTGAGCGTGCAGTTCAAACAGAAGAAGGCAGAGATTTCTTCCCTTTTCCAGACGTCGGCTATCTCCTGGGGGGGGCTTCCATACAACACAGGCCATTGTGAGTACGCTTGGCCCCTCTCTAGAAATGTGCGTTTAAATCAACCCTGATATCAATTTTCCATTATTCCATTAGCTCTGAGATATTTATTTTTACGGTGAGGGTGTTCAATGGGATTGTAATTTATAAGTAGTTTGATCAGTCACAGGCGTCTCGATGACTCCGGAAAGGACACACAAGCTGATTTGTTTAAAGAGCTACATTTGAAATTGACCTTTACATTCCTGAATGGTATACACAAAATAATTAATGCATTCTGCCTCCTAACAATGCACCCCATTGTCCAGATGCTGTGCATCTACACCCATTTAAGGTAATGTTGTTTGTTATACTAGGACTATACATTGACGGTGTTGGGTATACATTCAGGAGGTCAGTTTCCTGATGACACCAATGGAATTATTTAAAATCCACAGCCTTTACCACCCATATGGGCTGGACAGTGGAAGTCTGACACATGTTAATGACATATTTCTAGGTAAAACCGATGTAGGTGACTTTTGTTTGTTTATTATAAGTATCTTGACAAGAAGTCTCTTTCTGCAGAATTCCAAATTTCTTCAGAGAATAACCCAAACCTCATACTAAATGCATTCAAGTGATTTAATGTCCAAACATTGCGTCTGTAGTGCAACACAACTCAATATTCCTGATGCATATTTAGTGCACTTTTATGTTGGAGGGCAGTCATGGAACTGCTTTGGACTGAGGTTCGAATCTAATCTCTGAAAGTCAAACAATAGATTTTGTTCTTGTGTTGTGGATGTCTGCCATGTTTGAGAACCTAGTGATGGTGGTAGAACTGAAGGCACAGAGGATGAAACAAATGTTCCCAGAGGCACCCCTTATATTCAGAACCTCTCATACATTATTTTGCTTGAGCTAACTTTGCTATTAGACTTCACTGCTACTCTGGTATGCCAGTTTCCCCTTTAGCCTACTGCTCAGAACACTGCGCCAAGACTCCAGTAAAACAAAACGAATCTGAAAACACTGTCTCCGATGCTTGTTCTGATTTACAAAACAAATGAAACTGTGAAACCGAATCCAGTGAAACTGTGCATTTGTTGAATATTTCATCCACAGTATGTGCAGATGATTCGGTTAAGTAGGCTATAGATGAAAGATAACAATAACCTAGCACCATAGCATATATCCATCTAATACCACTGAAACTGCAAAGAAAACTGGGCACACTGATGAGGTCTGTCCTGAGGAGTTATAGTATATCATGTAAGGAGAATATTGTCTTGATTTCAAACGGGAAAGGGAAGCATTTTTGAAGCCTCTCTTCTTTTGACTTTCTTTCAAGTATTTCCTATGTTCCAAAATCCAAAATAATTGATGATGGTATTGAGTTGTGGAGACTTTAGAAGGGAAAAAGTGTGTGGGGGAGGGGAGGGGAACGACTTGTTTTGAAATAAATCTGGAACCTATAAACTTGGACAACTTCTACGAGGAAAAAACGCCAGAATATCCCCATCTGATTGGTCAACCCACGTGCCTTTGTCTCCGCCTCATCCCTTTACCCTTACCAATCACCAAACGCATTCTCTTCCTGTTATGGTTGGCCTGGCTGTGCCTTAAAAGCGAGCTGGACCAATCTGTGGAACAGATGGGTGGGAACTTACAAGTTCCATCCTCTTTCTTCTTTAAAAAGCCAGATGCAGGTTGGCTGCTGTCTTACATTGATCTAGGATACTAGATGCAACTGCTGTTCTGAATGTAGCGAGCAGATTGTAGTTAGATTGTTGTCATGACTAGGTGTAGGCAACATATGGATTTCCAATACTGAGAATTGATAATTTTTCCATTCGCTTTCTCTTGCTAGCAGACCTGGCAGATCACTTCGGGTATTTCTATATACAGGCTTGCCAGAGAAGAGAGAAACTAAAGGGGGCATAACACATTGGAAGGGCTGAAGGAGAGAACAGAGGAGTGGGATAGAAACAGTGTAGGTGTAGAAACAGGGTTGGGTAGATAGACTGCCATGAGAGAGGATCCGTCAAGCTGTGGTGAATACCCTGAGGGAGGGGTGGTGTCCAGTGAGGAGGAGCCAGACTGTGCTCCAATCAAATACCCTGTGGTGGTGGTAACACCAGGGGCCGGCGGGCGCAAGAGTGTCACCAGGAAAGACAACATTTCATCGCCAACAGAGGACAACAAGTCAACAACAGGAGGGCCTCCCAGTCTGATCCCATCAGGATCCAAGAGGCCTAAGAAGAGTCCCCAGCCATCCCTGTCTCCTCTCCCCATCCCAGGCCAGCCCCTGGAGGACCCTCAGCACCAGCGGGTGATCGCCAATGTACGGGAGCGCCAACGGACACAGTCCCTGAACGACGCCTTTGCCTCGCTGCGTAAGATCATCCCCACGCTCCCCTCGGACAAGCTGAGCAAGATCCAGATCCTGAAGCTGGCCTCGCGTTACATTGACTTCCTCTACCAGGTCCTGCAGAGCGATGAGATGGATGCCAAGCTGGCCAGCTGTAACTACCTAGCCCATGAGAGACTCAGCTACGCATTCTCAGTGTGGAGGATGGAGGGGGCCTGGTCCATGTCCGCTACCCACTAGCCCTGCCACTTACCTCTCTAACACCCCCTCTTCCCCTCCTGCCCCCTCGCCCTCCCCCAGCAGCGCCCTCCGGTCCCAATCTCCCATGACCTCTGACCCCTGCTCTCTGACCCTCATCCTCACATCATCTAACTCCTCTATCACTCTACACCAGGTATGCACTCCGACTGCCGAGATACAAACCATACATACTCAACAAAATCTCACTGTTTTATACTGCATGCAAAGAAGTAATAATTGAACAGATCTGCTGAAGGTGATCAGATATAAACATAGGGAAACACCTGATGTTTTATTAGAGTATTGAATGCCATGCTTGACATTTGCCAGAATGAGACCCAATAACTAATGCCAAGTAAGTGAATCACAAGGGAGGGTCATAGGACAGGACAACTTAGGTTACCAAGATTCTCTTTTTACATACAGTAACTATTCTACAAGATCAGTTTGTATTGAACATTTATATAAAATAGTAGCTTGATGTATCCCATGATTATCATCAAGATTATGGACCTAATAGGAGGATGTAGAGCTGTTATTTCATAAATTTTGTAACAAATAGCGTTGAACTCTGACAAATCGCACCATACGGTAGGTATCTTCTTTTTATTTTCTATACACATACAAATAGAATTTAGACCAGAAATCATGAATATAATCATATATAACTTCTTCATAGACTTGATGTTGTTTTTGATCTTACATTTATGTGAACAGCACAGAATAATGAATTCCCCCATAACTCATTGTATCCCATAGTCTCATAATTTTCCTAGACACTGACCTATTAATATTAATCTACCTTAGAAGCTAAATTATTGTGGAAAAAGTAACATTACAAGATTCACTTTCGTACACCAAAACCAATTCCATATTTTGGTGCAAAAACTTTTCTTTTCTTTTGGCTTAAACTTGCTACGTTGCACGCAAATGCGATAGTTCTCGACGGGGCTCAACAAAAACAAACTGGTTGTGAGAAACCATGCAGCAGTTAGCCATCAAAGGAGAAGTGATGGCTGTCTACTGCACTCCCACAAACCACAGAGTTAGATGAAAGTGGTGCCATTGATTCTTCCAGTTCCACTTCTCCATGGTAAAGATGGCTGTCAGACGCCTCATCAGTGGCTGTGTCTTCCTTCACCAGTAGCCACACATTTGGCCTTTGCCATTTGAAACCCACTTCATTCCCAATGCAGCAAAAATCCCAGAACGTATCATTAGACTGTCCACAAGAGGTACCATTACCATGCTTCTGAGGGAAGTATTTTTCATAGTACAGTCAGCACAGTGTGTTCCTACAACCTAGCCCACGATGACATGTTGCTTTCTGTGACATTCTCAAACAATACTGTCCTCTAGAAATTGTGTTTGAGGTGAATGAAAGCTAAATATCCTTTAATCTCTTACTGAATATCATGTGAAATGAAAGTGGCCTGTATAGGCGCCTAGATATAAGAAATGCATTCTCAGACAATGTTTGTTGGGATGGCCATTGTTATGGTACAGTCTTCAAGCTGACTCTGAAGGAAGCCATTCTTTGCTCCTTTCTTGTTAGGGTCCTGTATTATTCTCCAGTTAGTCTGCATAGCCCTTTCTGTTCATCTTTGTATTCATATACATGTGAATACAGTATGCATATGTTCTCCCTGCTATTCCGTGTGGTTGCTTTGGTATGTGTGTGTGTGTGTATATGCCACATAAATACTCGTTTTTTTATCTGTCAGGGAGGCATCAATGTTTATCCGTGTCTTTCAAGATGGCCGCTACAGCTCACCAGTTGTTGCACCGCTGTCAGATGGCTTCCTTATTAATTAAGGAGATCAAATACACATTGGTGTTTTAGCCTGCTTTGGTCTTGTCGCTAAACTTATTGCCACACACTTTGGCTTTCAATTGACCGACTGTTCTAAATGTATACTTATATTTATTGAGGTTACTTTTGTCTTTTATATGCATATTTATTGATATTATCCAGTTACATTTAATAGAAATACCACATTTTACAAGGACATGCTCAACAAAACACTGAGCCCTGACCTCCCAACAAAACAGGGCTAGGGAAAATGGACAAACAGCTTAATACTAAAGGGAGTTTTTATGCCCATTACTTTTTCCCCTGGGAGTTTAACCAGTTTAACTGTTAGAGAGTGCAGAGGGTTTGTTAGGCATCATGGACTAATAATTTGTGCTTTCTTCAACACAAAAGGAAATGGCATATTTTTCATTACGTAACACTTGCAGAATGTTTGAAGCACGTAGTACTTACAGAATCTTGTGTTTGTCTCCCCAGCACCCGACCAAGGCGACTGAGAAGCCTTCACCTTTTGGTCTGCAATCCCTTTGTTTACTGGTTTGGACCTACACCTCTGGACCAACTAAATCATAGATATGAGCCCTGCCCTCACGCTGGAGAGGTACTGTAGAAAGACTCAGCTTCCTCGAGCCCACACAGAATCTATGGGACAATGATTCAGAGCTACTAGCAGGTCTAGAAGAGGGATAACTATAGATGTTTATGACCTGGAAATTGCAACTTGTGACTTGGAAACAGTTTGGTAAACAAATGTAAGTTGCAGATATTAATGGGAATTCCTATTGTAGTGTAACTACATGTAGTCAAAGAACTGTTTGTAAACCAATATAAAATTCCTAATTAAAAGGGAATCAGTTGCTGTAAGATAATAAAATGAGTATTTGAGCATCTTTGAAGCATCTTTCTCAGCCCCATCTTATTACCAGTCTCACCTTAAAGCATACACCCTGTACTGCGACTACACCAGAATGAACAAGTCCAACATCAGCATCCAAAATATATGACCAAACATTTGGAGGTGGATGATGACACAATAACATTTCTAAACACCAAATACATACGAAATACATCAATTATCCTTCTTTGAGTTTGTGTGTGAAAGAACCTGGGTTACCAGGCTCTCTATGTGTTACCCTGTCAGCCTTAAATAGTGCTCTATAACACAGACTTCCTTAATGAGGCCCAAGTGTCTGCTCAGGCAGCCCAGGGTATAATTGCCCATAAAGCTGTTGTTCTTTTGGGGAAAATAAGGCCTCTAAAATAGTTATTGGTTGTCTGGTTGGAAATAAATCCTATGATCTACCCAACCACAGAAGCATATGTGGATACATGTATTAGTGGACCAGGAATGTACACTGTATATCCAACATGTTGTCACACCTACAATTCTGTACACACAAAAATGACAATTTAAAATTTTAATTAAGAGAAAAACGGTACAAAATAGACATTCTTTCTATACATACATAGGAAATATGTAGGAAAAAAACGAACACAAGGTAAATAAAAAGTATGAAAAAAGATTCAATGTCATTTTTTGTTATTCTTAACTCCAGTTAGTGAAGGCTACCAATACTTGACTCAAGGCACATGCGTGGTGTATTTTGGTCTTGAGTATCTATTTACAGTGACTTTAAGAAATAGAGCATAAAAAGGACAATATTAAAGGAAATCAAGATGAGCGGCCCACTGGTCACTAAGACAATAAGAGTGTTGCCCATAGGCCCCTGGAAGTCTTTACAGGAGAGGCAATGTACAGTATTCAACACACTTTCTCTAACATTACTTCATAGACAACAGATACCCACTGGTGCATTACGAGACAGACACAGCACAGTCACTGTCAGTTGTACGAGATTATGAATAATGGTGGTTACTTCTATTTCTAAGTCTTTGAGGGGATCTTATGGGCAAACATTGCCCAGAGTCTTGAAAACAACCACCCCAAAACAAATAGCTAGTACAAACAATAATGAATAATGAAAACTGGCAATGGTCTCCTACACACACACACACAGATTTGGATCTTAATTTGAGCCAATTTGCTACAGCACGAATATAGTCCTGCAGCAACAGGAAATGTGAATTATGTGGATTATAATTAATGGACAGTTTTGTAGGGGTTGATAAAAAAAAAGAAAAAAAGTGGAAATTACAAACTTCAGAAGCCGTTTCAAAGCTCAAATACACTACAAGGTTGAAATTTCCTGCATTGCAGGACATTTCTCCTGCAACAGGGTGATCGAATTACAATCCTACATCTGTAGCTATCCACAGTGGTTAGTACAGAGTATAGTAAGAAAATACTATAAGACTTGTTAGCATGATTATCATTATCTCTCTCTCAACGACAACTAGGGGAGAGGATGCAGCTAAGGTTAGAGAATAATGTTTAGTTAAGACAAGATTGACATGTATCACCAGTGTGCCACTGTATTGGCGCACCAGCAGAGAGAGTATGTTCCTTAACAAATATGCCTTGTAAATGTTTTCTTTCTGCAGTGGTTAGTCAAAAGTGGACGCTCTCTCTCACTCTCCTCTTCGATTTTGTTAAAAAAAGAACATGACTGCTTCAACATAGAAAACACAGTAATAGAGCGTTCTGATACATTCAGCCATTTAGCCACATTCCTTAGAGGTATGGGGTCATATACAAAATAATATTGTGAATCTGAAAACAAATGTCAATTTCTCAATTTGATGGTGGGCATTTTTTTTTTATCAACTGAAGAACCTCTAAAAATGAGTGCAAACTAGATGAAATGCTCATTAAGACAAACTACATAACCCCAGAATGAATGTAGAAAATGAAACGGTGGAATGTGGTACACATTTCAATTTACAACAAAAACGATCTACACTGGATGTCATGAACACACAAAAAAGGTCTCAGGACATGTTAACAAACTAGTTTCAGTTTGGAGCAGGTTCAGCTTGGATATGTGCAGATACAGTATATCTGAAAATCTATAAATCAGCATGATGTCAAGTACTGTATCATACATACAATTGGAGTACAAGAGAGACTTCCTACACAAGGTGTATGGGAGACGTATGCACCATCATAGTAAAGCCACATCTCCATCAGTGGAGGCAGGGGAGGATCATCCTCCTCAGTGAATTTCATAAAAATGTAAATTGTAAAACATTTAAAAAAGTTATCATTTTTAGATAAAACTATAATAAATATATTCATTTATTAAAACACACTGTTTTGCAATGAAGGTCTACAGTAGCCTCAACAGCACTCTGTAGGGTAGCACCATGGTGTAGTCGGAGGACAGCTAGCTTCCGTCCTCCTCTGGGTACATTGACTTCAATACAAAACATAGGAGGGTCATAGTTCTCACCCCCTTCCATAGACTTACACAGTAATTATGACAACTTCCGGAGGATGTCCTCCTACCTATCAGAGCTCTTGCAGCATGAACTGACATGTTGTCCACCCAATCAAAGGATCAGATAATTAATTGAGTACTGAAAGCATAAGCTACAGCTAGCTAGCACTGCAGTGCATAAAATGTGGTGAGTAGTTGACTCAAAGAGAGAAAGACAATAGTTGAGCAGTTTTGAACAAATACATTTCTTCATAAATGAAAGAGAAGCATTTTTTTTTACTTTCAGTTTCACTTACTTAGCTAGCAAATGCAGCTAGCTAGTTTAGCCTACTCAAACAGAGGGATGCTATGTTAGCTAGATGGCTATGACTATCCAACACAATACTGGAACTCTTCCAAGTCAAGGTAAGCTTTTGGTTTTACAAATGTATTGCCACCGGGGCCTGCTGGTGTAAGTGCTAAACTGCTTACTGACTGTACACTGTAACGTTACTGCATAATTGTAGTGGGTTTACTAACACGTTAGTTATATTAGCTATGTTGACTATGACGTTACTTTAGCTAATATGGTGACAACGATGTAGGCTGTGTGTAGCAGTTATGACATGGTTTGGCTTGGAACGTTTTTTTTTGCCTGGTCACATCCAGCTGATGTGTTGTGCATTGAAGTCCACAAGCGAAGGCAAAAGGTGAGAGGAGGAGAGCGCATAGATGCGAGAAGGAATACAACGTGGCTGCTATGAAAGTGAACTGTGTTTACGCGTGATCAGGGGTGTATTCATTCCACCGATTCTGTTGAAAAAAGTTTCGCAAACGGAACGAAATGGGGATAAACATACCTGAATTTGTCCAATAGAAACTCTTGTTAGCAACTGTTGGACTAATGATTACACCCTAGATCAGCTAGATGCAGGCAAGAGTGTGCAAGGCGGCACTGAATGTGTCACGGTCTGTCACCTCAAATGTTTCTCTCGACCTGTGTGCACCTACGTTGTAAACTTTAATTCATAGGCTAGTTTGTAGCAACCTCATGATGGGTATAGGAACATTTGAGTATCATGTAGTAGCCTAAACCTATCGCTGTTACATTGAACTGGCGGAATGGAATATGAATGACAGTCATCCAATATGCTGTAATAGAAATAAGGCCATGCGCATGAGAATAAAAAAAACGTCCTCACTCATCTTAAACGGCACTGACCGCCACTGATCTCCATAGTGCTAACAGTAATAGTATTTTGGTTGGTCCTCGAAACAAACAGAGCAACACCATAAAGAAGGTTTTCACATAGAATAATGCACTCAGTTTAACTGTATTCAGCTCTGCTTGATATTACTGTACGTGGATAATATCAAGGGAACTGAACTGTCAAATTAATGTACACAATATAATATGCATGTCTATCCACAGGTCAAAATGCTGGTCCTGCAAAAACAAACATCAACGTAACACGGTAACCACACTGGTCCAACTGCAGTAATACAGTCACACTGCAGACATATTTAAGACAGTTTTCTTTGGGAGATCTCCATTAAGTGCATTAGAGCCTTTGACTATCATCATAAAATAATAAAATGGCCTAGGAATGAACATAGATTTAGTATTTCCTTCCAAACAGTGGTAGGTATTCAGCTCTTCATAAGATTCATTGGTTTAATTGTTTCAGTTCATCCAGTTTGTATACTATATATCCTCGAGACAGGAGTAATTTTGGTCCTCATTATGTCAGTGGTAAGACATGAAGGGAAATAGCATGCATGTCTACAATGCCTTTCTGAGTGTGTGTGTTTGTGTGTGTCCATGCAAACAATGTATAAAGACATTTGTCTATGAACAGCAGTGGAAAGTCTTCGTAATACAATCTGGCCAAACAGGATTTTTTTGCAAATGCACTTCGTAGAAATACTCATTGTGTATACATGCCGGTAGAAATGTAGAATGCATAAGTCTTCTTCTTAGAATGTGAGTGGATTTTAGAGGAGAACAATATCTTCCAATCTTCAAAGTTGAACAGATAATTAAATAATCTAGAGCTTTAGTTTCCCCGAGGTTTGGAATTTTCAACGGTTCACATTACGGAATGCAGTGCAAAAACAAAAATGACAGAAAACCACAGTCATCCATATCTTCATTTCTTCTTCTTTTTGGCCCTTTTTAGTGGTTAAACTGAATATTAATGACATCATCGAGGACCGACTGAGCCATTCAACAGTTGCTGGCCGGTCCCCTCCAGGCTCTCTCTCTCTATCTCTCCCTCCTGTCTGTTCAGGGCCATCCTCAGAGCCACTGACTGGGGTCTGCTATGCTCACTGACACAACAACAGACACCCACAGACCTGGTGCTAAGTATTCCCTCCTTCAAGGGCACATCTTCCTTTAGTCTCTATGGCCTGTATTAATCACAGACACTGGGGAAATAAGGCAACGGCTGAGAAGTATTGCTTTACTGTAAGTGCCTCCGTAAGACCTATTATACCAAAGAGTGGTCAATATGACGGCACAGGGCTGGTATGGACGTATCCTTCTGAATACACACAATATAAATGACTGTCTTGCTAGGGCTAGACCATGGACAGAGTCAATTTAATAATCAGTTGTTTGAGAGAACATATTTTATCTCACATATACACTGACAGGGCTTTGATGTGGCTTCGCAGGCCACATTAGTTCCACTGCGTTGAGTTCACTCTTCGCTGTGTTAAGTTGTGCTGCATAGAGTCTGAGGAGAATGGACAGTGGTCTTTGAGGCACTGGGTGGCTTTAAGGTCTCATTGGTTAAGGCAGATCTCCACAATCTACCCTCCTCCCCCTCGTCGTGTGACAGCGCAGGATCTCCAAGGCTATTGGGACGTCCTGAAGGAGAGGTCTCTGAGGTCAAAAGTCAGCATATTTTACATGGAGTCGTCGTCATGCTCCATAGGCTCGTCAGGGAGGCTGGGGGGAAAACACATAGAGAAGATAGTTAGGAAAAGCATCATGCATCATATTTGTACAGTACTGTACAGGGGAGTCTGCCCTTTACTGTGAGAGTGTTTGGGAGTGTTTGAGAGTGTTTAGGAGTGTTTGGGTCCAGGTGCTCCTGTCGTACCTCTTGCTGGTCAGGACCCCCACAGAGAGAGAGGCCAGAGCATTGACAGCATCAGTCTCCTCACAGTCTCTTCTCTGAGCACCCAGGTAGGACAGTCCCACAGAGCTACTGAACGGCTTCAGGGACTGCCAATACTGACCTGAAAAACAAACAGAGAATCTTTTTGGCTATACAGTAGGAGAGATTGGGGTAAATTGAGACAAAGGGGTAAGTTGAGCCACCCTTTTTTCTAGGAAACACAAAATGAATCATTTGACCAAATATTTAGGGGTCTGTGAAGGAAGAAACCACATGGAAAAGGTTAGGTTCAAAAAACGGATTTTCACCAAGTCAAATGAATTTATTGTGTTATAGATTTCATGATGCTTGTATCTAAACCAAAGTAGATCATTTTAAGATTGTTCTATACCTCAGTTGGGGTCTCTATAAGCTTCAATAGGTCCTTATCTTAGCATGAAAGTGCATCCTTGTAGCTGTGTGGGCTAATATAGTCAAAATGTTTGCCTTGGGGTAAGTTGAGACAATGGCCATTGAAGTGTTTTCTTCCCAGGCGTAATACATGGCATTATCGCTGGGATATGAGGTAACAACAGGGCCTATGTCAAAAGTGTTTGTTGGGTGTTAAGCCATGCTTAAAACGATAAAAACAAACAAAAAGGTGATTGTGTTGAACTGTGTTTGGGAAATAAAGATAGACATGGTTTAAAAAAATAACGGTAATATTTAATTCAGTAGGCGGCTTAACTTACCCTGTCCCGTGGCTCAATTTACCCCATACCCGGGGTAAGTTGTGTCAAGAGACCACTTTTTGGGGACAAGCTATGCTTACATATATTCGGATTATTTCCATGTATACACAACATCCTGAAATATATGTAGATATATTTGTTAAAAGAATACTATATTTCCCTTTGACGTAGTGATGCTGAATGTAAAAAATGGCTAAACTTACCCCATTCTGCCCTATGTGTGTTTATTCTGTGTGTTTTTTGCCTAAACCAGAGCCAGTAAGCACACACACTGGCTGCAGTCAGAAGGTCTAATCATCCAACTGATATAAAAGTTAGTCCCTCAAACTATATGGGCCCATATGGTGAAAGATCAATATTATTAATAGCCTTGTAGCCTACTGTATTAAATCCTTGTGTGTACTCAGGAAGTCTCTGCATTTCACAATAATTAGGATCAGACCAGAATAAAGGGAGAGACAAAAATAGAATAGAGAGAGAGAGAGAGAGAGAGGGAAAAGAGGGACAGTGGTGTACTGCATAAGAAAGAGACAAGAGGAGTTGAATGACTGTTTACCCACCATGTATCTGTATAACTCTCTGTAGCGAGCAAACACTGTTTGCATTGGGCTTCTGCAGCAGCACCTCCTCTGACAGAGGCTCCTGTATGGACAACACAGTGGGAGAGGAAACCATCAGGCCACTAATCAACATCATCCTCCTTTCCAGCCCTCAATACCTTTCCTCTTATTTACAGTGCATTCGGAAAGTATTCAGACCACTTGACTTTTTCCACATTTTGTTACGTTACAGCCTTATTCTAAAATTTTCATCAAGGATCTCTCTGTACTTTGCCATGTTCATCTTCCCCTTGATCCTGACTAGTCTCCCAGTCCCTGCCGCTGAAAAACATCCCCACAGCATGATGCTGCCACCCCCATGCTTCACCGTAGGGATGGTGCCAGGTTTCCTCCAGACGTGACGCTTGGCATTCAGGCCAAAGAGTTCCATCTTGGTTTCATCAGACCAGAAAATCTTGTTTCTCATGGGTCTGAGAGTCCTTTAGGTGCCTTTTGGCAAACTCCAAGCGGGCTGTCATGTGCCTTTTACTGAGGAGTGGCTTCCGTCTGGCCACTCTACCATAAAGGCCTGATTTGTGGCGTGCTGCAGAGATGGTTGTCCTTTCTGAAGGTTCTCCCATCTCCACAGAGGAACTCTGGAGCTCTGTCAGAGTGACCATCAGGTGGACTCCAATCAAGTTGTAGAAACATCTCAAGGATGATCAATGAAACAGGATGCACCTGAGCTCAATTTCGAGTCTCATAGCAAAGGGTCTGAATACTTATTTCTGTTTTTTATTTTTAATACATTTGCCAAAACTTCTAAAAACCTGTTTTCGCTTTGTCATTATGGTGTATTGTGAGTAGATTGATTAATTTTAGAATAAGGCTGTAACGTAACAAAATGTGGAAAAAGTCAAGGGGTCTGAATACTTTCCGAATGCACTGTATATGATTGAATATTCCTTATGAGGGTATAGACTTCACATAAACCTTTATGGTATACGTAACATGATTTATGAAGGGGTTTAAAAGTAGTTTATAAACTGCTTTAATGCACATTAAACCAGTCTCTCACCTCAATGCCCAGTAGAGCGCTAACGCAGGCCTCGGAGGCGTCGCAGATAGCCGTGAGGTCGTGACCTCCCTCCAGAGCCATGATCACCCGGCCTCCAGCCAGACCCATCAGCTGCCGGGTCAGGAACCCAAAACCTGATGGACACATCGAAAACAACACAGTCAATATGGGATGTGGTGGACAATTAAGCACTGAAACTTTGCATGTAAACTAGCCTAAATCATGTTCAATGAGGCATGTGTGCCAACTCCTTTTCTAGATTGACAACATGGTGCCTTCAGAATGTATTCACACCCCTTGACTTTTTTCACATTTTGTTGTGTTACAGCCTGAATTTAAAATGGATTAAATTGAGATTTTGTGTCACTGGCCTACCACAATACCCCATAATGTCAAAGTGGAATTTTCTTTAATGAAAAGCTGAAATATCTTGAGTCAATAAGCATTCAACCCCTTTGTTTTGGCAAGCCAAAATAAGTTCAGGGGAAAACATTTGCTTAACAAGTCACATAATAAGTTGCATGGACTCACACTGTGTGCAATAATAGTGTTTAACATGATTTTTGAATGACTACCTCATCTCTGTACCTTACACATTCAATTATTTGTAAGGTCCCTCAGTAGAGCAGTACATTTCAAAAACAGATTCAATCACAAAGACCAGGGAGGTTTTCCAATGCCTCGCAAAGATGGGTAGATGGGTAAAAATACAAAAAGCAGACATTGAATATCCCTTTGAGCATGGTGAAGTTAATAATTACACTTTGGATGGTGTATCAATCCACCCATTTACTACAAATATACAAATAAAAAAATCAAATAAAATATATTTGTCACATGCGCCGAATACAACAGGTGTAGACCTTACCGTGAAATGCCTACTAACAAACCCTTAACCAACAATGCAGTTTTAAGAAAATTAAAAAAGTAAAACTGAACAAAATGTGGCAAAGAAATTAACTTTATGTCCTGAATAAAAAGCATTATGTTTGGGGCAAATCCAACACATCACTGCATACCACTCTTCATATTTTCGAAAATGGTGGTGGCTGCATCATGTTATAGGTATGCTTGTCATCGGCAAGGTCTAGGGAGTTTTTCAGGATAAAAAGAAACGGTTCAGTCTGCTTTCCAACAGACACTGGGAGACAAATTCACCTTTCAGCAGGACAATAACCTAAAACACATGGCCAAATATACATTGGAGTTACTGACAGTGAGGGAAAAAAGTATTTGATCCCCTGCTGATTTTGTACGTTTGCCCACTGACAAAGACATGATCAGTCTATAATTTTAATGGTAGGTTTATTTGAACAGTGAGAGACAGAATAACAACAAAAGAATCCAGAAAAAACGCATGTCAAAAAAATTTATAAATTGATTTGCATTTTAATGAGGGAAATAAGTATTTGACCCCTCTGCAAAACATGACTTAGTACTTGGTGGCCAAACCCTTGTTGGCAATCACAGAAGTAAGACGTTTCTTGTAGTTGGCCACCAGGTTTGCACACATCTCAGGAGGGATTTTGTTCCACTCCTCTTTGCAGATCTTCTCCAAGTCATTAAGGTTTCGAGGCTTACGTTTGGCAACTCGAACCTTCAGCTCCCGCAACAGATTTTCTATGGGATTAAGGTCTGGAGACTGGCTAGGCCACTCCAGGACCTTAATGTGCTTCTTCTTGAACCACTCCTTTGTTGCCTTGGCCGTGTGTTTTGGGTCATTTTCATGCTGGAATACCCATCCACGACCCATTTTCAATGCCCTGGCTGAGGGAAGGAGGTTCTCCCCCAAGATTTGACGGTACATGGCCCAGTCCATCATCCCTTTGATGCGGTGAAGTTGTCCTGTCCCCTTAGCAGAAAAACACCCCCAAAGCATAATGTTTCCACCTCCATGTTTGACGATGGGGATGGTGTTCTTGGGGTCATAGGCAGCATTCCTCCTCCTCCAAACACGGCGAGTTGAGTTGATGCCAAAGAGCTCCATTTTGGTCTCATCTGACCACAACACCTTCACCCAGTTCTCCTCTGAATCATTCAGATGTTCATTGGCAAACTTCAGACGGGCATGTATATGTGCTTTCTTGAGCAGGGGGACCTTGCGGGCGCTGCAGGATTTCAGTCCTTCACGGCATAGTGTGTTACCAATTGTTTTCTTGGTGACTATGGTTCCAGCTGCCTTGAGATCATTGACAAGATCCTCCCATGTAGTTCTGGGCTGATTCCTCACCATTCTCATGATCATTGAGGTGAGATCTTGCATGTAGCCCCAGGCCAAGGGAGATTGACAGTTATTTTGTGTTTCTTCCATTTGCGAATAATCGCACCAACTGTTGTCACCTTCTCACCAAGCTGCTTGACAATGGTCTGGTAGCCCATTCCAGCCTTGTGTAGGTCTACAATCTTGTCCCTGACATCCTTGGAGAGCTCTTTGGTCTTGGCCATGGTGGAGAGTTTGGAATCTGATTGATTGATTGCTTCTGTGGACAGGTGTCTTCTATACAGTTAACAAGCTGAGATTAGGAGCACTCCCTTTAAGAGTGTGCTCCTAATCTCAGCTCGTTACCTGTATAAAAGACACCTGGGAGTCAGAAATCTTTCTGATTGAGAGGGAGTCAAATACTTATTTCCCTCATTAAAATGCAAATAAATTTATAACATTTTTGACATGCGTTTTTCTGGATTTTTTTGTTGTTATTCTGTCTCTCACTGTTCAAATAAACCTACCATTAAAATTATAGACTGATCATTTCTTTGTCAGTGGGCAAACGTATAAAATCAGCAGGGGATCAAATACTTTTTTCCCTCACTGTACCAAGAGGATATTTAATGTTCCTGGCCTAGTTACAGTTTTGACTACAATCGGCTTGAAAATCTATGGCAATAATTGAAAATGGCTGTCTAACAATGATCAACAACCAACTTGACAGAGCTTGAAGAATTTTTAAAATAATAATGTGCAAATATTGTGCAATCCAGGTGTGCAAAGCTCTTAGAAACCTACCCAGAAAGACTCACAGCTGTAATCGCTACCAAAGGTTGTATTGACTCAGGGGTGTGAATACTTATGCAAATGAGATATTTCTGTATTTCATTTTCAATTCATTTGCAAAAATGTCCAAAAACATGTTTTCACTTTGTCATTATGGGGTATGTTGTGTAGATAGGTGAGAGAAAATAATTAATTAATCAATTTTGAATTCAGGCTGTAACACAACTAAATGTGGAATAAGTCAAGGGGTATTAATACTTTCTGAAGGCACTGTACTACAGTGCATGCATCAATCTTTATGACATTTACAGCACAGATTCACATAAATCCATAAAGACACACATTTACAACACTAACACAGTGATGCAACCAGGTCAGTGTGTACCAGGTCAAGGCTTATAAATGTCTTACCTTCTATTTATCAAGAACTAACTAGCACAGCTATAAAACCACTGTATAAGCTAGCTCATGGTCTAACGTGTACTGTTTGAGGAAAGTGTGTTTGAGGAAAGCCTTGCTTACATTTGGCGGTGACCTTGTAACCCCCTAGAGGTGCAGGGTGTCCCTCTGCTGCATCGAACCCTGAGGAGACCAGGACCACGTCAGGGGAGAACTCCTGAGCTATGGGCATCACCACCGTCCTGCAGGGAGAAACAACAATATTTCAACAACACCTCGACAATATTTACTCCACAAACAGCACTGTCTGGCTGTTAATGACAGTGAAGAGAGCAGGGTTGAGGTTGAGCTGCCGGGGCCTCCTGTTGTTTTCTGTGCTGGCGTCAACCACCCCTCTCTGTCAGAGAGTCAACCAGCACAGCACAGAACAGAGCAGGGCCGCTAGCTAGCGAGGGAGCTAACGCAGGCATCTCTGCTGCCGCCCGAGTTCAAAGCCTCCATAGGCACGTCTGGTTCCCATTTGGAGCTTGTCACTCTCCTCACGTCACTGACAGCCTGCCATCTGGGATCCATTTGGGTTCATTATCCTGCGTTTGGATTCCTCCAGCCCAGACCCCCCCACTCCCCACCACACTAACCAACCCTGCCTCCCCTGCAGACCAATAAAACCTCCCATACTCCCCTGTGAGCCCGGCTATAGACCGACTACAGGGAGAACAAGAGCGAGAGGGAGAGGGCTCATTAAAGATCAATCAGAGCGAGGGAAGGAGAGGTAGGGATAAGAGGAGAACAGGAATGAGACAGAGACAGGGAGGTGGTGGGGGTGGGGGTGCATTCCCTACCTCTGGAGTTTAGAGAAACTGACTGAGAACATTTCACCAACAAACAAAATGGTGGTGTCTTTTCAGATTCAAAAACAGAGGAATTATTATTATTTCCAAGGGTGGTGTACTACTGGGGGGAAAAGGAAGGTATAATAGCAATATTAAACTCTGGTTTCTTATTACGTTGAAGTTAAAAACTTTTGTTGAAACTTTTCCAGTACAATCTTGTCATTCTCATTTTGTTATGCTGGCTTAGAGGTGGAGCCCACCCACCACTGTCTGTGGTTGCCACAGTTTCCTACAGTTGCCACCAGACAGCCGACCTAACCAAAATACAGAGACTTCATTAGAACCTGAACCACCCACCGGTGGCAATTAAGTGCCATGGAGGAAGTGGCAGTGAAATGTCTGTTTAATACAACAACCACCAAACCTGGAGACAATTTAATATCACACATAAAACATTGAAAATTGGGACCGTACACATGCACTTCAAATGACTGGGATTCAGAAGTGCGTCAGAGTTTTTGCACTTCAATCAAAATACAGTCAATACAGTATGAGGGGAGAAGGGGGTCCTTTCTAGAAAGTGACAAGTTAAGACTGCATAGTTACAGAAATTGGGACGGGTGGACAATCATGTTTAAACCAGAAAGGACCATGGTCGGAGCTGTCTTACCTAAAAGCAGCGATGTACTCAGCATCACTCATAGGAGGGTCCAGACCTCCAGTCCAGGCCACGTTGACATTGAAGCCTTCCCCAGCACCAGATCCCACCTACAACACAGGCACACACAGAGAGACCTACTGAGACAATGCATTCTCCATGGAGATGCGGTCAATAACATAGAGGTGCTAGAGGCACAACACACTAAAACCCTTGAGCAGACATCTGTCCACTGTAACTTTGGAACCTAGCTAGCTTTTTGAGCTTCTCTTGATGTCATGCCCATTGTCCTACTGGCAGAATGCCCCGTGTAGAGCTGATCCAATGATGTCACTTACCTCAGCTGGCCCCCCGCTGCCAGGGAAGAAGTTTCCGTCGTCATAGCGATGTAGTGAGATATACAGCACACTGGGATCATTGTAAAACACTTCCTGGGTTCCATTACCATGGTGAACATCCTAGCAACAGGACAGAGATGGAAGAGAAGATTTGGTTACATTAAATCATATAACTGCTGGCTTATTTGATGTCATATCCTAGACCTGACCAATAGTAACAAATAAGCAATGTGAGACAGAACTCACATGTGTATACATGTGTATACATACATGTACTCATACATGTTTTCATGTGTATACAGTATATCATAAGGGTCATACTAAATACTGTAGTTATTGTCAAAACAGTAGTAAGTCAACTGAGATGAGGATACCACCAACACAAATAGTGTTGCTACTGTTAATGCTACAGCCACTGTAACTGTAGTCCCTTACCCAGTCAACGATGAGGATCTTGTTGGCACTCAGTTTTTGTTGGAGCTGCTTGGCTGCAATGGCCACCGAGTTGAAATAGCAGAAACCCCTGGAGGGAGGGATGGGTGGAGGAAAGGCAGAGAAACAGACATTAGCAATACAATATGATAGTGGTTAGGATACAAAGAAAAAATTTGAAATTCCTAGGAGCCGACTCAGCACACCAATAGGAGAGGAGAGGCATAAATCTTCTGTCTGTTCTTCTCCTTCCCAGCTTCACTATCAGGCCATAAATATCTTTCATCAGACAGCGTGCTGACGCTGCAACGCTCAGCAGAGCCCACTGTGGTTAGCCTGGGCAAGCACCACCACAAGCAATATAGTACACACGAAAAACAACACACAAACAAAAACAGACATTAGATATGAGAATATGAGACAGACTTACATTGGGTTGGAGGGGTCAGCATGGTGGCCTGGGGGCCTCACCACTGCAAAGCCATTCTGGAGAGAAACAGTCAAACAAAACAAAACATTATCATTCAGTATTCTTTCTCAAGTTGCCTGAGGCAGTCTGGAGTGTGATTTGATGGGGATTACAGATCTCTGTGTCTTACCTTGAGCTCTCCCTTGGCCACTCTGAAGGCCAGCTCTGTGACACTGCCTGCAGCCATGCGCGATGCCGTTGAAGTATGAGACTCATTCCAGATTGTGTCATTGTCCACCTGCCAATCAAAAACAACACGAGAGTGAGTGACAGGACAGAACAACTGCTATATGGATCAGGTGTAGTGTTTTTATTTCCATGGTTTCAATGGCACTGAGTATTACTACAGGTACACCGGTTTGGAGGCAAACAGACCTCACCTCAATCATTTATGGGTCTGAAATATTACAATACTTACAGTACACAGACACACTCGGTGCCATAGAGATTTGCTAGCCAAGCAACAGAGAAATACAAGAGGGAAAAACAGGACTTGTTTCCAGGGGAGGAAGATGCATACATGCACACGAGGGAATTCCCTCAGGGACTTAAACATGCTCCTGTCCTTTCTTCCTTTCATTATTTTTTCCTGTTTGTTCACAAATGTGCATTTCTAGCTGTCTGGCTCAGACAATGAAATTGGAGGCATTTATTTAATCCCTCGTCATGAGCATAATGTTTCTATTAGTTTGAATTGTCATGGTCCGACAGAGATCGTCAGGCAATTTATTTTCTCAACCCACTCATGCTTTCTTCTTTCATATCCCCTCCTTGTCTGCTCATGGCCCTGTCTTTGAAACAACATCAACATCTCCCATCACTAATCACTCTGAATGGACCATATAAGTGTTGTTAAGGACTTGGAGGGAAGAATTGCCAACTGAAATCGAGAGATGTTGTGAGCGAGAGAGAGCTGGGGGAAAATGTGTGTGCATTGGGCCTCTCACTTACCCCCACTCCTCCGCATGGCAGCATCACAAACATCCTTTGAGAGAGAATGCCTGTGGGAGAACAATGAGTGGTTTTATTCATCACAAATAATCAGTGTTAACAGCTCCTTTTCATATCATTTTATTAGCATCTGACATTACTGTTTGTCTGTGTACCATCACTGAAATTACATCTTACAGTTTCTCAGTCGCATAGAAGCAATTTTTGGATCTGTATTGAAATGTATCTATAGCAGAACAGCAATGATCAAATTCTGAAATACATTTATAGATCTTCTGATCATTTTATTGCCTTTGTACCTGACTTGCATATCTTAGGCCCCCATTTCTTAGACCTCCCCACCCCACCCCACCCCCTCTTTTAGCTGCTCCTACTCTGTTTATTATCTATGCATAGTCACTTTAACACTACCACATGTACATGTTTTATTTATTTTTTCATTGTTGGTTAAGGGCTTGTAAGTAAGCATTTCACCTGTTGTATTCGGCGCATGTGGCAAACAACATTTGATTTGATTTGAAGAGAAATGTGTGCAACTGTGTTCATTGTTTCCAGCAATCAGTAAATACTACTGCATGACATTCTAAACCATCCCATCAGTGTCATACCGTGTACAATATGTGGAAGGATCTAGGCATTGGGGACTGTCTAATTTTTATGATTTTTTACAATATTGCAGACATGCAGAGATACAGAGAATGAAGTTGGGTTACTTCTAAGTAACTTTGGCTTACTCCTAAGTAATCATCTCCAGCATTGTGACCTTCCATTATCCTTTGCTTTGGTCTGGATTGAGGCCTCATTCATATCAGTTGTGTTCCTCCATTGTATTCACCTTTTCTTATTTCTATTGTGTATTGTGTTTCTGTTCACCAATGGAAAGTCTACAAAACTATGAGCAAACCAGCCTTTGTATTCAATACATGGAATAATATTTGATTTGATGTGTATGAAATTGTTTGGTGAAATCTGCATAAAAGGAGAGTAATTTCCCATAATTCTGCACCTTTGGAGAGTTTTATTAATTTGGATCGTCATTATTTAGTGACTGCAAAGAAAATATATTGATCTACTGGGATTTTTAAAAGACAGACTAACTTTCAGTTTTGTCTGCTTGGACTGAAGAGATAAGTATGGTTGCGTTAATCTTTTTGCAGGCAGTTGTGTTCTTTTGATGAATGTATTTGCAATTGTGACAGTATAATATAGTTTTGATGAATGCATTTATGTATTGTATATGTTGTAAAAGGCCACCGAGTTCTGTTTGTTCCAAAAAATGCTTGTACGGGATTGACAAAACTGTAAATACACTAATGAGTTGACTGATAAACGTAAGGGATTCCAAAGTGCCATCAATACTATACCATTAGAGTCATTAACCAAAGGCAAGTCCCTACTTACTAGGGACACCAAAGAGAGTAGCTTTACTTAACTGTTGCCAGTTATACAAGGGGCCCTGGCATAAGATTGGCATGACAGATTATATGAAAACATCATTAAGTCTTTAGTGAGGACGTACCGGCCAGCTTGCGGTTGTCCAGTTTGAGGCGGTTGAGTGGGTTGGTGCCGTACAGCAGGACATGACGCTCTGAATGGACCGACTGCAGCTCCTCCAGAGTGGCCTTTCTACCCCGGATAGTCTGTATTACATTTACATTTTAGTCATTTAGCAGACGCTCTTATCCAGAGCGACTTACAGTTAGTGCATACATTTTCATACTGTATGGGGGAAGATGGACCAGATTTAGAGCAGACACTGGACGATTTAGTAAGAGACAACTAGGACACAACTACGCCTATCAATATTGAATATGGCTACAAATTAAAAGGTAACGTTTGTCCCTTGAGTCTACCCACTGGGCACAGACGTCAATTCAACGTCTATTCCACGTTGGTCAAACGTGATTTCATTGAAATGACATGGAAATAACGTTGATTCAACCAGTGTGCCCAGTGGGTAGGTAAAGAAAAAGGAGATAAAAACGGTGGTCTATGTACCTCACACTGGCCCCTGAGACCTCTCTCCTGGAGACGTGACCAGATACTTTGGATCCTCCCAGCATGCTCTGGGTGGCTGCTGTTGTCACCACATGTGCACTGGTGCTTCAGCATCTGAGAGTCATAAACCAGGCCTGCAACCAAACAGAGACACACATTAATGTTAGTATTTCCAGCGATTACTACCCGTTTCCTCCACATCAACAGCTGTAAGACAGATCTAACCACAACAAGAGAGATGGAATATAAGCATATAAACTGCTTACTACCCATATCTTATCAGAGAGTCCTTGACCAGGCCTCAGATTGGATCAATTGAATTACAGCCACAGTAGGGATAATAACCTACACCTAAACAGGTTCCCACTGTGGCAGTGTGCTTGAGTCTCTGTGGTTAACTTTTTACCAGTGGTGAAGCGTGGTTTGCTATGTGGTTCTGGGGCGGGTATTGGCAGGGGCTTGTCTGGCAGCGTGAGGGAGGTGGAGGCTGGTGAGGACTGGGTACGAGAGAGGGGCCGGTGGGCACCGCCAAGCATCATGGGTACCGCCAGTGTCTCCATGTGGGCTGTCTGCCGACGCAACTGCTGCAGCTGTTTCTGTTTCTCCCATAGCAACGACTAGAGAGAGATAGTGGGAGCAAGAGAGAAAATGAGAGCAAGAGAGAAAATGAGAGCCAGAGAGAGAGAGAGAGAGAGAGAGAGAGAGAGAGAGAGAGAGAGAGAGAGAGAGAGAGAGACAGAGAGAGAGAGAGAGAGAGAGAGAGAGAGAGAGAGAGAGACAGACAGACAGACAGAGAGAGAGACAGAGAGAGATACAGAGAGCGAGAGATACAGAGAGACAGAAAGACAGAGAGAGAGACAGAGAGAGAGATAGACAGACAAAGACACAGACAGACAGACAGACAGAGACAGACAGACAGACACAGAGACAGAGAGAGAGCCAGAGAGAGAGAGAGACAGAGAGACAGAGAGAGACAGAGAGACAGAGAGAGACACAGAGAGAGAGAGCGACAGAGAGAGCGACAGAGAGAGAGACAGAGAGAGAGAGAGAGACAGAGAGAGAGAGCCAGAGATAGAGAAAGACAGAGAGAGAGAGAGCCAGAGAGAGAGAGACAAATCAAATCAAATGTTATTTGCCACATGCGCCGAATACAACAGGTGTAGACATTACAGTGAAATTCTTACTTACAAGCCCTTAACCAACAATGCAAAGTAAAACAAATAAAAAAAGTGTTAAGCAAAAAAAATAAAAGCAAATAACTAAAGAGCAGCAGTAAAATAAAATAACAGTAGGGAGGCTATATACGGGGGGGTACCGGTGCAGAGTCAATGTGCGGGGGCACCGGCTAGTCGAGGTAATTGAGGTAATATGTACATGTGGGTAGAGTTAAAGAGACAGAGAGAGAGAGAGACAGAGAGAGAGAGAGAGACAGAGAGAGAAAGACATAGAGAGAGAGACAGAGAGAGCGAGAGATGTTGAGTGTTGTTGTGATTTTCAACCCACAGGAATCTATAAACGCAGAAAGTAAAGTTAAGTCAATCCTGCATGAAGCGTGAAGAAAGAAAATAAACCCTTTGCTGCCCTCTGCTGGAAGTTCAGGGAAGGCATATTCTATTAGTGGTCCTCTATCATCTGTGTGTCTGTATCTTACCTGGTTGAGTATGAGTGTGTGTTGTAGATTGATCTGTTCTCCCTGGCTGTCCAAATCAGACACAGGCTCCGCCTCCCTCAGTGACTCTACCCGTGCTCGGCCCTGATAGGTGTCGCTGGGCATTGGCCCCACCTCCTCAGAGTCCATGTCCTCTGAGGGGATCTGTCTGAGCCGAGGCTTCTCACTGGATTTAGACATCAGCTGGAACACACACACAGAATTATTGATCCATTTAGATTTATTCATCCAACTCCATTCAAATCAATTAATTATTTTCCAAAAAGATAGCTGCTGACAGATGAAACCATCCATGGATTGTACAAAAATCTATAATCCATTACAACAGAGTATGAGTGAAGTGAGTATGAGAGTATGTTTGAGAAAAGAGGGATTTGTGAAGGTCGGTAAGTCACTCACCTTGCCCAGGTGTGTCTGCTGTTTAATTCTCTCCAGTAGTTGGCTGTTGTGGTGCTGTTGCAGCAGATGGGGGTGTAGGGATCTGGGGCTCTGGGGCAGGGGCTCTGAGCGGGTCCGGCTCAGGGGCTTGTGAGGGCCCCCTCCCGGGGCCAGACAATCCATCTGCGGGGCAAACTGCAGCGGCACGGGGCCCAGGCCTGGAACTGAGACATGAGGAGACAGGGAGATTATGGCTGTAAATCTGACTATTTGTCAAGGCCACTAGGTGGCGGTGCCACGATACCTCTGGTGGCAGAATAAACCTTTTCTTCTTAGCTCTTTCACAGGAGGCTAGAGAAAAGCGATAATGCCTACAGAATCCAGCATAGCAATTGTGTATTGTGTAAGACTTTTATAAGGAACACATTCCTGGCAAGAACTTCTCCTGTTCTATGTCAAATTCAAAATACATGAAAAATGAATTTTCACTGCTGCATATAAAGGCAATGTTTATTGGAAGTCAAACTTTTGCAAGCCAGCCATCATTGTATGTGAATGCTGTGGTGTGTCTCACCAGCGAGCATGGGGGTATGGACTAGTCTGGAGGGCTCCAGGATGAGGACAGGCTGGAGGTGGGGCGACAGCGACCCACTCTGCTCCTCTATCCCCAGGGGAAGGTAGACAGACTGGCCTCCCGCCACCATAGGCACCCGGCCCACCTTCAGAGGGGACAAGTCTCCATCACTCTGAACACATACACACATATAAAGTGGCAATAAGTTATCTTGTTGCTATCAAAGACGAGTCTTAGTGTTGTTGTTTTTTACCATGTCTCTATCTCAACATAATAATAATAATAATACCTTGAATTCATAACATCTAAAAGTATTTTTCATAAAGTTGTGTGATATGCTTACCCTGGCGTTGGCTGGCAGGCCCAGGGTGATGGTGGGTAGAGCAGAGGAACTCTGGACGGTGAAGTGGGCTAGAGACCCATCCTGGAGCAGCAGTCTCTGGGCCTGAAGACACACACAACATGAATTCAACTACGTTGACTAGACTGTTTACTCTCAAACCTGATAGGTAACTCAGCAGGCACAGGCCTTGTGTGTACTGTATATGCACACTATATATACAGAAGTATGTGAACATCCCTTCAAATTAGTGGATTCGGCTATTTCAGCCACACCCGTTACTGACAGGTGTATAAAATCGTGCACACAGCCATGCAATCTCCATAGACAAACATTGGCAGTAGAATGGCCTTACTGAAGGAAGAGCTCAGTGACTGTCAACGTGGCGCTGTCATAGGATGCCACCTTTCCAACAAGTCAGTTTGTCAAGTGTAAGTGCTGTTATTGTGAAGTGGAAACATCTAAGAGCAACAACGGCTCAGCCGCAAAGTGGTAGGCCACACAAGCTCACAGAACGGGACCGCTGCGTGCTGAAGTGCGTAGCACGTAAAATCGTCTGTCCTCGGTTGCAACACTCACTACTGAGTTCCAAAATGCCTCTGGAAGCAACGTCAGCACAAGAACAGTTTGTCGGGAGATTAATGAAATGGGTTTCCATGGCCGGGCAGCCACACACAAGCCTAAGATCACCATGCGCAATGCCAAGCGTCGGCTGGAGTGGTGTAAAGCTCACCGCCATTGGACTCTGGAGCAGTAGAAACACCTTATCTGGAGTGATGAATCATGCTTCACCATCTGGCAGTCCAAAGGACAAAATCTGGGTTTGGCGGATGCCAGGAGAACGCTACCTGCCCGAATGCATAGTGCCAACTGTAAAGTTTGGTGGAGGATAAATAATGGTCTGGGGCTGTTTTTCATGGTTCAGGCTAGACCCCTTAGTTCCAGTGAAGGGAAATATTAACTCTACAGCATACAATGACATTCTAGACGATTCTTTGCTTCCAACTTTGTGGCAACAGTTTGGGGAAGGCGCTTTCCTGTTTCTGCATGACAATGCCCCTGTGCACAAAGCGAGGTCCATACAGAAATGGTTTGTCGAGATCGGTGTGGAAGAACTTGACTGGCCTGCACAGAGCCCTTACCTCAACCCCATCGAAAACCTTTGGGATGAATTGGAACACTGACCGCGAGCCAGGCCTAATCGCCCAACATCAGTGCCCGACCTCACTAATGCTCTTGTGGCTTAATGGAAGCAAGTCCCTGCCGCAATGTTCCAACATCTAGTGGAAAGCCTTCCCAGAAGAGTGGAGGCTGTTATAGCAGCAAAGGGGTAACCAACTCCATATTAATGCCCATGTTTTTGGAATGAGGTGTTCGACGAGCAGGTGTCCACATACTTTTGGTCATGTAGTGTATGTGTTTAAGTGATTTTTTTGTAAGTGCATAAATAAATAGTGAGTGTGTGTGTTTGCGTGCCTGCATGTTTGTGTAGTGTTTGAGTCTTTCAAAATGCATGTGGGACAGCCTTTTTATTCTGCTGATTAGCCAAGACAAGACAACGAGGTGGAGAGAGTTTAATTAGATTATCAGATCTGGTGTTGCGTTCGGCTACAGGGCTATAGCCAGATGTCCTTCTCCAATATCACTGTTTTAAACATTTCATTACCCAAACAGGAACAACTTAGAGAAACACACTGAATGAACTGTCTAGAAACTAGGGCATTACTGCTCCCATTTCCACACAAACACACCAGAGAGGACAATGAAACCTCTGTCCTTATCTCATGCATTTGTAATGTATAAGTGTATGCGTGTGTAGAGGGGTAAGGGAGAGTGAGTAAATACCAATCGGATAATAACCTCATGGGACAGCCCGCCAACAGAGGGCAGCACTCCATTCTCATAGGTTAGACTGTCATTGGGGGAGCTGCAGCCAGACACTGGGGTGCTACTGCTGCTGGGAGACGAGTCTGCAGAGAGAGAGAGGGCGGATGGGCGGAGAGAGTGAGAGTGAGTCCATAATAACATTTATATTTTCTATTAGCCCTGGCAGCACAGAGCCTAGTGGGCAGCAGTGTTCTGTTTGGGGAAGTGAGGGACTTACCCAGAGTGTCGGGCACCCGGTGTTTGATGGTGGGTGGGGCACTCTCCTTGCGGGTCAGAGGACTCTTACGAGTGTTCAGATGTTTCTTCAACTTGTGTTTCACCTTCAGGTTGGGCTCTGAGGCTGATCAGTGACAGAGATAATAATAAAAACTATCGGAACCAAAAGGAAGTTAGTTGCCGAGTACAATGTTGAATCCAGGCAAGTGAAATCAGGATCAACACCTTTCTAAGATCCAACTTCCTCTCCATTCATACATTTTCAGCAGTTGTATATTCTGCTGATGTACATAATGTACTAGGACACATTTGGATTTACTGTTAGCCTCTTTAAAACAGATTCTACAGGCATTGTGAAGCCAAAATCTGATTTCAAACAGGTCTAATGAACAAGATGACAGTGATGAAGTGGTGTGCAGCCACGTGGCTAATTACAGTAACATTTTGTCAAAACTGTGTTATAAGCAGTACTCTGTCAGTCAGTCCCCTCTCTTTGCTGGGTGTGTGTGTGTGTGTGTATGTGTGCGCGGGCTGGGAACCGTGCCACAGCTGACAGCTCTACCACTTTGAAACAAGGATCTTATGTAATGGGCTAATTGTAGAGTGTAGCCTCGTAGCTTCAGGCACAGAGGCACAAGGCGTGGTGGTGAGAACTATACACTTTGCATTTGTGCGTGTGTGTGTCTCACCTGCCCTGCGTAGAGGGGTGTCATCTGAGCCCTCTCTGGAACCCTGTGGGGGGGAGGACACTAGAGGCTGGGGTGGCCCACTGGGGTCTGGAGCCAGCTCCCTACAGAAACAAAACACACACAGACACACAACACAGTCAGAGTTGGACAATCAATTCTATACAGATATCAAGGTGAAATTACTAAGCACAGCACACATACTGAAACATTATGTAATGCAACAAAAGGTGTAAAGAGTTCTCACCTGTAGCCCACATGCTACTGAAGGTGTAAAGAGTTCTCACCTGTAGCCCACATGCTACTGAAGGTGTAAAGAGTTCTCACCTGTAGCCCACATGCTACTGAAGGTGTAAAGAGTTCTCACCTGTAGCCCACATGCTACTGAAGGTGTAAAGAGTTCTCACCTGTAGCCCACAGGGGGACCACTGAGAGGGTTAGAGCTGGTCCTTCCCAGGGCTTGTTGTTTCTGCTTCTTCAGAATCACCTCCTGGAGCTTTTGCTTCACCAGGGAACTGGCCACAGCACCTGTCAATCAACACAGATATAGAGACCATCAGACCAATCCCTACAACTACTCTGTAGTGTGATACACCCATCAACTGCATCATTGTAACTGAAGATGAAAATGATCAATATTAAGTGAAAGAACGACTCCTTTTATGCCCAGAGCATGACATTGTAGGCAGAGCATCAAGATGAGATGGCAACATTTGGGAAAATCCCTTTCTATTTCAGTCTCCCTCTGTGCTCCCATGCTAGGAAGCTGTGGCCATGCCGTCCCAGTGTGTGTGTGTGTGTGTGTGTGTGTGTGGAGGGGACTAGGGAGGGCGTGGTGGACAGGGGGAGGTGACAGGAGGTGTCACTATTGATATGGTCAATATTGACAACAGTGCTGTTTGCACAGCTCGGCTATTTTTGAACCACTGTTTTAGAGGGACTTTTTTTTCTCTCTCTCTAAAATGAGCAGCCCAGCTCTGTCTGTTCTGCTCTAAAAGTCAATACCGGCCCAGAAATTCCCTCCTACAGTAGCATGATAGTATTCAGTAGTATCCAATGTTCATATGACTGACAGTGAAACCCCATACTGTCTTGGATGGCAGTAGGATGAGGATCTAAATACAATGTGGTGTGTGTGTATATGTGTGTGCGTTTGTGTGTGTGTGTGTGTGTGTGTGTGTTTGTGTGCGTGTGTGCGTGTGAAAGGCAACAGGAACAGTGGGCTCTGTGTGAGGAGGAAGCAACATGTGATGTCTACTACCACTGCCGTCCCAGCATGCCTCAGCCCACAACACACAGAGATGAGCTGCTCTGAGCAGAGCCACAATGGTCCATTGACAGCCACTCACAGAGAACCGGGTTTGGGACCCACAGGGCAGGGGTCAAAACAACAGCACTATACAGCTCATCCTTCCTCTCTTCTCCTTTCTTCTCTTCTCCTCTCTTCTCCTTTCTTCTCTTCTCTTCTCCTCTCCTCTCCTCTTCTCCTATCCTCTCCTCTTCTCCTCTCTTCTCCTCTCCTCTCCTCTCTTCTCTTCTCCTTTCTTCTCCTCTCTTCTCCTCTCTTCTCTTCTCCCCTCTTCTCTTCTCCCCTCTTCTCTTCTCCTCTCTTCTCCTCTCCGGGGCCCTACCAGATACTGTCTTACTGGAGGAATGCTCAGAGACCTCACAGATGTATTTATGGACATGCAAAGACGGAGCACTAAATTACAGTTTTCCTCTGCTTGTTGTAAGAGACAAGAGATTTGGCGTTATTTTTGTCTAGGTGCTATTTATGATGACTCAGTCTGTTGGGAATAGGCAGAAGGAAGTGCCTCTCAAATGGGTGTCCATGTTGGTTTTGATACAAGGCATTCTTTGGCTGTTTGGTGTGAATATTTACATTTGTAGAGTGTGTATGTATTTATCTGTGTTTATGTGTGTGTGTGTGTGTGTGTGTTTGTGTGTGTGTGTTTGTGTGTGTGTGTGTGTAGGATGTTTGTCTTGTGAAAGTGACATTGATGGATCTGTTTCACTTTATACAACACTGTGCAGAACACTTCAATCAATGAGGATAACGATAGGGGAGAGTGGGGTATGTTGAGCTATTTTTTTACAATCAGCATCACTACGTCAAAGGGAAATATAGTATTCTTTCTACCAAAGATTTCTACATATATTTCAGGATGTTGTGTCTCCCTGGAAATAATCAGAATTAAATGTAAACATAATAGTTTTGAAAACATAAAAAAGGTGGTCTCTTGGCACAACTTACCCCGGGTATGGGGTAAGTTGAGCCGCTTTGGGGTAAGTGGGTCATGGTGTCCTGTGACAGTGGGTGATGGTGCTGTTACAGGTAACTGCCAAAATAATGGAAACACTTTAGTAAATGAGGAATACAAAGTATATTGAAAGCAAGTGCTTCCACACAGGTGTGGTTCCTGAGTTAATTAAGCAATGAACATCCCATCATGCTTAGGGTCCTGTATGAAAATGCTGGGCAGGCCATTATTTTGGCTACTATGGCTATGTCCCCATAGGATGACATCCACAGGGCACAAGTGGTCACTGAATGGTTTGATGAGCATGAAAATGATGTAAACCATATGCCATGGCCATCTCAGTCACCAGATCTCAACCCAATTGAACACTTATGGGAGATTCTGGAGCGGTGCCTGAGACAGCGTTTTTCACCAACATCAACAAAACACCAAATGATGGATTTTCTCATGGAAGAATAGTGTGGCATCCCTCCAATAGAGTTCTATACCAAGGTGCATTGAAGCTGTTCTGGCTCGTGGTGGCCCAACGCCCTATGATTGCTTTATCTTGGCCAGGTCGCAGTTGTAAATGAGAACTTGTTCTCAACTGGCTTACCTGGTTAAATAAAGGTGCATTTAAAAAAAAAAAAAAAAAATACTCTTTATGTTGGTGTTTCCTTTATTTTGGCAGTTACCTGTATGTTAAAGTTGAATTCATGGAATCGGAGTGGTATATTGTATATCTTAAATGTCCATTGAGATATAGATCTCTCTGTTCAATATCACTTACCCTTCCATTTCTTGACCAGTTGTCTGGGACAGGGATGTTGTTTCGATGTGCCATTGGCTTAAGTTCTCTGCACTTGAGGCTACTAAGCCCATGAAACTGGTCCACGAGATTCTTGATATGTTTAGCAAGCTCAGACTCCATGTCATCAGATAAGACCTTGTGTGCCTCAGCTACTCTACTATAGCCTTTTGCACAGGTACATGCTCATTTTCATCCCTTGCTGCTGCTCAAATGACTTCTCTTCTTTCACTTACTTGGCTGCTCTCTCAAGAACTTCAAGGGGGGCTAGACCCCTGCTTGTTTTACGTCTATTTTGAGTTCATATGCATGCCACATTGCAAAAATACTATGCATATTATGAATAAAACTGACAAAATGTAATCATCATTTGTATGGGATATGTTGGCCATTGGCTCAACTTACCCCAAGGCAAACATTTTGACTATATTAGCCCACACAGCTACAAGGATGCACTTTCATGCTAGGTTTAGGACCTTGTATTATAGCTTATAGAGACTCCAACTGATGTATAAAACTATCTTAAAACTATCTACTTTGGTTTAGATACAAGCATCATAAAACCTATAACACAATACATGTATTTACCTAACTTGCTTAACACTTTTTCCATGCTTCACAGACTCCATGAAATCATGACCTATTCTAAAATATTTGGTCACATGATTCATTTTGTGTATGGTTTCCTAGAAACAAGGGGTGGCTCAAGTAACCATTTGGCCAACTTGACCCACTGGCTCAACTTAACCCATTCTCTCCTACTACAGTGTACAAGCACACAACACAGGCGCACGCATGTACGCACACAAACAGTAAAACTCACTCTGTTGGCTCTTGTCCTTGTGCCACAGCTGCTGCAGCTCTTGCTGTTTCTCCTGCTCCTGCTCACGTCTCCGTTGTTCCATGTTGAACTGAAATCCGATGAGACACTCAGTAAAGTATGTGTGGAAACAGGAAAAAGTGCCCCTCTGGACTGGGAATGTGTGACACATGGGTGACAGAAAGACTTGGGCTAATGAGTGTAAATGGGGCATGAAAGTCATTACTAATACGAGCTAAAATGTATAAGAAACATTACACATTAAACATTGCAGACATAAAAACATTACAGACATGTAATGCAATTTATGGGTTCCTTTCACACCAGTGTGTGTGTCGGTGTTTGGCGACAAAGTGTGCTGAGAGCAGGCCTAACGGTACAGTACGTACCCGTATGTGCTGGTGCAGCTGGTGCTGTGAGAAGGGGGTGCAGGGCTGGGAGGAGAAGGGGCTGTGGAGCAGAGGAGGGTGCAGGGGCGTCAGCAGGGCCGTGTCTGAACCCGGCCGCATCACACGCTCCGTCACACGCAGGTCCATGGGGACTGACCCCAGGGGTGCCGACACCGAGGGCTCTAGGGGGAGGGAGGGAAGGAGGGAGGGGAGAGAGTTGAGTTTCTCTGAAAATCAATTTCTTACTTCTAACCTTGACTTCAGTTCAAGTGTTTAATTACTGTACGGCAGTAACACTTGACTCCCAGAAACTAACCGTACAGGAGACAGAGGTACTGTTTAGTAAAGAAAAGAGAGAGAGAAAGGGAGATGTGACAGAGAGGGAGATAAATTGACCAGAGGCACAGCCCACTCAGTGTATAGACGTGTGGTAGATGAATGTGAGCAGCGATCCCACACTGGACACGACACATACAAAAGGAATGTCTGCCGCAAATATGCATCACTATCTTACAGCCTTTCCCTCTCCCCTCCACTGGGCTCTCCTTACTCTAGATTCTTCAGTGACATAAATCTGATTTGCATGCTGCTCTGGGACATTTGCATTGCATGGGTGAGTCAGTGGGAAAGATTACCACGCTCTACAACAGGATCCAGGACGGGTTTGGGAAAGAGCTGCAGGTGTTACTACACAGTACTGACACACACACACACACACACACATTCACACTCTCACACATGCATACGGACACAGACTCAAAACAATTATTGACATAATTGCCAAGTCTTTGGTTAAGTTTATAACTACACACACAAAGTCTCAAGTGTCTAAGGCTTTGTAAAGTGAAATTATGTACTGTACATTTCATGAAGTTTGACTTGGCCTTCTTCCAAATTCCAAGCAGCACCAGTGAGAATGTTTCTGTCTAGTGTCAGGACCTGCAGGCAGTGGAACTGTATCTCACAGCTGGGTTGAGGAGGGTGTGGAGTGACTGAGGGTGAGATAGATATATTCTATATCCTACAACACTGCTGTGCTGTGCCTGTGCATGTGTGTGAGGAGAAAAGCCTCCTTTTTACACACTGATATAGCCAGCTGTGTACTCTCACACCCCGAATGGGAACAACGGATTATGTGATTCATGCTTTAGTTTGGACGCCCATGGAAATCAAAGGGCTGTTTGCAGGCCCTCACAGTGCACAGCCAGCTGGGGACAGCCTCAATGTATACTGTATCATTACACAAACACTCCATTGTTCACTGGACTATTATTATTACTGTTTGACTAAATCAATCACTCCCCACTGCTAATGAGAGAGAACCAACAAACGTGTGTTTATCTAGGAATGAAAGATGAGCTTTTCACAATCCTCTTGTAGGAACGAACACGAGCTGATGAGGTGTGTGTGTCTGTGCGTGTCTGTGCGTGTCTGTGTGTTTTTCTGTGTAAAAATGAATGCAGGCATTGCAAGAGTTGTGTGGGGAAGCCTTCTGATGGACATTTCTGTCTTTGAAAGTCCAGTTGCTGTTTGTGTATAAATGCAGCCGTAACAACCGTGCCCTAACTTGTTCTGACATGGCCCTCTGCTGAAGGCCTCCATATTAGGAGGCTGGAGAGGAGGAATGAGAAAGGCTTGACAGAGGCTGCATGAATGCCATCAATATTTGGAATTATTAAAATCAAGTCAACAGGCTCTCGGGTGTGTGTGTCCCAAATGACACCCTATTCCCTAAATAGTGCACTACTTTTGTGTACTATATAGGGAATAGCGTGCCATTTGGGAGACGCAGCCCAGAGTCTGACTAGTAAGGCAGAACAAGTGGATTATTCCAGGAACGTAACATCAGCGACTCATACAAGGAAACAAAGGGGGCCACTCATCAGCAGAAAACACAAGCGCCTTTTCCGTTTGCATCTCTCTCCCACCGCCAGCTATATTTAACACACAGAGTGAGGGACAACATTTACCTACACAAGCCTTTTGTTTTTCACCAGAAAGACAGACTCTCCCTCACCTTTAGTTTCCACAGTAATGGAACCCACTGGGAAAGGGGATGACTGTGTGAGTGTGTGTGTGTGTGTGTTTGCCTGTGCGTGCTGCGAGAAAGAGACCCTGTTTGTCTGACCCTCTCACAGGTACACTGTGCCTCTGAGAATGTCTGAAATATGAAGCTGATGGACAAACCCATAAAAACGTCACGCAGATGCGAGCAGGACTCCACATAGGAATGCACTGTCTGCCTATCTGTCAGTTTTTTTGTCTGTCTGTCTGAGGAAGACTCAGTGGAAGAGCAATATGAGTGTAGCAGCTTATCCATTACAGTACAACCCGAAACAGCACCCTAATACCTCTTTTGACCAGAGCTCTAAGGGCTCAAAAGTACTGCACTGTTTGAATAGGGTGCTGTTTCAGAGGCAAACAGAGCGCTACAGTATTACGCTGTTCCACAAAACCATGAAGTCATGGTCTCTGTGCTCTGATAGGCTGTGATGTGATGATGAAGTCATGGTCTCTCTGCTCTGATAGGCTGTGATGTGATGATGAAGTCATGGTCTCTGTGCTCTGATAGGCTGTGATGTGATGATGAAGTCATGGTCTCTCTGCTCTGATAGGCTGTGATGTGATGATGAAGTCATGGTCTCTGTGCTCTGATAGGCTGTGATGTGATGATGAAGTCATGGTCTCACTGCTCTGATAGGCTGTGATGTGATGATGAAGTCATGGTCTCTGTGCTCTGATAGGCTGTGATTTGATGATGAGGATCAGATGTGGTTATTGATGCCTGGTTCCATGCTGGCCTGAGGTATGATGAGTCCAACTGAACACTGAACAGACAGAAGAGAATGAGTCTCTCCTCCTCCTCCTCTCGCCTTCCCCAGAATATCGTTCTCCACTCTGGACCGGTTCTACCAGTATGGCAATGTGTACGGGAACCTCCCTCCCTCTGGTCCCTCCTCCAGATTAGGCAGAACACAGAATGACTGATTGAGTAAGTATGAAACCAAGGCTTGCTGTAACTTGACACACTTTTCCTCTTATAACCTCTACCACTCCACTCATCAGTTGACATGATCATTCTGCATGGATAAGTTGTGTACACTACCATAACTGTAGTACGAAGTTGGAGTAAGTACACACATCCCCCCCCAAAAACACACTTTGAGATGTCAACTGCTGACATTTGTATCCTCAGAATAGGGTTACAAAAGGAGAAAAGCGTGGGAAAAAGACAGTGGTGACACTATCAACTCTATAGTCTGTGTTGATGGAGGCAGACAGAGACACACGCACGCTGAGCTGGAGCTGAGTGCTGTCCTCTGTGGTCGGGTCTGCTAGGAGAGAAAGGAAACTGGAACAATGGGAGCCAGAGTGTCAGAGTAAATCTCAAGCCCAGCTCCACAGAGAGAGAGGCAGACCGGCTGGGCCTCTAAATTAGGTGGCTCAAAATAAAAAGGCCAACAAAACAGGAAGTATTGACCAAGTGACATCTGCTCCACTTGTGTTAGACACCTCCCCCTCCCTCCCTCCTTCTCTCCCTCCCATACCTCCTTTTGTTTATGCTGACTGGACTGGAGGCCCTAATTGGCATGTCCACATCTATTTTGGGGTGGGAGGAATGTTTTTTTCAGGTTCTGCTACTAATTTCTATGGTGACTTTTGTTTGTCCTCCTCATCAGAGGTCCTGTCCATCGGCCCAGAGGATACGTAGCACAAACAACATAATCCAGGGAAAATGTCTTGAATATGTATGAGCATAATGTGTATAACGTTTTTAAAAAGGAACCTTTCTGAAAATATAACTGTAGTTGTTAATGCAAAGGTGTGTGTGTGTGTCTGAGTGTGTGTCTGAGTGTGTGTCTGAGTGTGTGTCTGAGTGTGTGTCTTAGTGTGTGTCTGAGTGTGTGTCTGAGTGCGTGTCAGAGTGTGTGTCAGAGTGTGTGTCTGAGTGTGTGTCAGAGTGTGTGTCAGAGTGTGTGTCAGAGTGTGTGTCAGAGTGTGTGTCTGAGTGTGTGTCTGAGTGCGTGTCTGAGTGCGTCTGAGTGTGCGTCTGAGTGTGCGTCTGAGTGTGCGTCTGTGTGTGTGTCTGAGTGTGTGTCTGAGTGTGTGTCTGTGTGTGTGTCTGTGTGTGTGTCTGAGTGTGTGTCTGAGTGCGTGTCTGAGTGCGTCTGAGTGTGCGTCTGAGTGTGCGTCTGTGTGTGTGTCTGAGTGTGTGTCTGAGTGTGTGTCTGTGTGTGTGTCTGTGTGTGTGTCTGAGTGTGTGTCTGAGTGTGCGTCTGAGTGTGCGTCTGTGTGTGTGTCTGAGTGTGTGTCTGAGTGTGCGTCTGTGTGTGTGTCTGTGTGTGTGTCTGAGTGTGTGTCTGAGTGTGCGTCTGTGTGTGTGTCTGAGTGTGTGTCTGAGTGCGCGTCTGAGTGTGCGTCTGAGTGTGCGTCTGAGTGTGCATCTGTGTGTGTGTCTGAGTGTGTGTCTGAGTGTGTGTCTGAGTGTGTGTCTGAGTGTGTGTCTGAGTGTGTGTCTGAGTGTGTGTCTGAGTGTGCAAACAGTCTTTTAGGGCCTGTAGATAAGCCTTGTCACTCCGCACACACTAAAAGATTGATGACAGTCTACAAAATGGTGCCAGTGGTGACAGCCAGGGATACAACCATTGTCTACAACACACTATCACCACTGTATACTTTGGTCTACATTCAGTCTGCATTAATTCTCCGACCATCTCTTTTCCCAAAATATATATTTTTTTTTATAAAGAATTTCCTCCATGAAGGCACTACGCAGCACTACAAAAGCACTACACTTGACCAAGCTGAAAACACAAGTCAAGTTACTGAGTGATCCATTTTCTAGTCATGCAGGTTCAGTTCCTTAACTACACGCCATGACCGTGTCTCAATACTTGCATTCTAAACAGTAGGCATTTTGGGTATGCAAAAATAAAGTTTTACAGTATGTGAAAATGTCGAAACTTGAGTATGCTTTAAATGCCGACTCATTTCGGCTTTTCATCTAGTAGAATTCGCTGCACACTACTGACAAAGATAATTGTTTTTCAGACTCACATGTGTTTGACAACAGCTGATAATCAGATATGGTGACGCGCTTTACCAAAATGAACGAATGACGGGAATCAACGCAATTACGAAATAGATGACGCATTCTCAGTAGCCTAGTATGTTGATATTTGTTGCTTACTGCATACGATTTTACTAAACAGTACGTTCTAAATAGTATGTAGTATGATTAGTACACAGTATGTATGCAGTTTCAGTAAGTAGCAGGCAAGACAGATTTCGGACACAGCCACAGTCTCTGCAAGACTGCCAGGAGCTCAAAGTATTCCCTTTGAACTTCCTGAGACATAATTAAACAGAGAAGAAATGAGAGGAGGAGAGGAGAGCGGCGAGAGGTCAGAGCAGGGGGATTGTTATGACAACCTGACACCCCTGAGAAAGTCACCGGGGAGCCCCCCCTCTCTCTGAGCCTCCACTGAGGCATCTCAAACTCCCTCCCTCCTAAAAGGAGACATGCCACAGTGTTATTATGATCCCAACCTCTATATGTGTGTGTGTTCCTCTCCTGAGGAGGACTCTTTCACAATCTCTCAGTACAAGTGCAACTCAACACCTCCTTCCCTCTTCCCTGTTCCTGCAGGCCCTCCTGTCGCTGTGTGTGTGTGTGTGTGTGTGTGTTTAGTGCGCGAGGTCAACCCTGCTGCACAGCATGGCTTGCCATTCCTGTCTGCACTATAGGATTTCCTGCAGTGTTAGCTGCGCTATGTACTTCTAGGAGCTGCCCGTTTTCAAGATGTGGATACATAACGGAATTGTTCCTGCCATATTAAAAGGTCACCTCTATTCAACTTTTAGGATACTCCATCATGTGTAGGTACATTAGGTAACATAGCTCTGCAGTAAACTTGAGGACTTAATGCATACGAAATATGCATACAATGTGCATACAAAATAGCGGCATTCTTTATAATTGTAATGAAATCCATTTGTTGACAACAGAAGCCTATCCATCAGGCCTCACTAGTCAGGCCTATCCACCTAATTTTCGAACGCTTTTAAAACACGGAATCAGGCCAGCTCATTTGTTTGTGTGGGAGGACATGGCTGCCAGAGAGCTATTTATAGACTACCAATGGAAGGTGCGTTTCCAGCCCTCATCATTATGGAAATCACCTGAGACCTACCTCTGTGTGTGTGTGTGCCTGTATGTGTGTGCTTGGGTGCCTCAGTGTGTCTGCGCGTGTGTGTGTTGCCTAATTGAATGATGTGCCAGCGGATAAGATCTTCCTCCTTCCATGGGCTGGTCAATATCATGTGCTTCCTTACCTCCTTCACTAGGCTTCAATTCCCCAGTCAGTCAGACCTGCTTTCCCAGGGCCTAGTCCTCTCATGTAACTACTTATAGCACTCCAAATAGAGTTTCACATCATCAACCCTAGAGTTACTTAAAAAAGTCAACTTTCATGTATAATAACTTATACAGTTGATGAATTAGTATAGGAGAGTTGTTAGACTGCTTTCTCACTCTCTCGCTTTCTCTCTCTAAGTGTAATCTGATTGCAGCAGCTCTAGCAGAGAGAGAGAGAGAGAGAGAGAGAGAGAGAGAGAGAGAGAGAGAGAGAGCGAGAGATGAGCGAGAGAGAGAGAGAGAGGAAGAGAGGAGAGAGTGAGAGCAGAGAGAGAGCGAGAGGCTAGATAGATAGAGATTAGAGGAGGGAGAGAGAGAGAGAGAGATCAGCATGGAAAGGTTGTGCCCACAGGGCAGCTTGTATAACAAGCTCAACATACACAGTGAAGTGAAATGGACCTGTCAACAGTGGCTGACTGCTCCAAGGAAATACAGGGACCAGTTTAAATACTGAATAAAAACAGAGACTATCTCTGTAACTCCTCAGCTAAGCCAAGTACATCTTGTTATTCATAGACTGTGTACTCAAATCAAAATGTTATTTGTCACATGCTTCGTAAACAACAGGTGTAGACTAAACAGTGAAACGCTTCCTTACGGGCCCTTCCCAACAATGCAGAGAAAGGAAGTCAGAATAGAAAAATAATGAGGAGGAATAAATACTAAATGAGTAACGATAACTTGGCATGTGTGTGTCTCTACCTCATTCTTTGTGGGCCAGTGGATTGACAGTGGAGCAGAGGTTTATGTATTATGCATTCTGTCCAGGATAAAGTTTCCTCTGTCCTTACCTGAGTTTCCAAAACACCTCAGGTTTCCTTTTGTGGGGTCAGGAGGTGCAGAGATAAAACAACACCATTTATTACCAAGGCCTCACTGTGACGTCCCTCCATGCGGTATATGTTACTACGGAACATTACAAAGATTCCATTACCGTAACATGGGTGATTGGAATACTACTGGAATTAATTGGGTGAGATTAGGGCTGTTTTTGTCAGCAGGTGATTGTCAAGCAAATAACGGTCGGTCTCACGGAGTGCTGCATTGTGCCCTTCTCCCGGAGTGTGCTGCGCAATCCGAAGCGTCTCTCACTCACACGGCTCGTGATCGGGTCTTTCTCACAGGCTACAAGTTAAGACAGACACATCCGGGACGCAACTGCGAGCATCCTTATCCAATTCCGAGGTGCATATTAAAGATATTGGAAGAACTGTCCACATTTACTTTTCGTCAGCCAACAAGATGAGTAGGCCTAATGAACAGCAAAAGCACTAGCCTATGTCTACTATCCCCCATAGTCCAAAAGTCAACCTATTCTATTCTGTGCGAGAAATAAATATTCCAAACATAGTCTGGGACAGTTGTGGGGTGCAATAGATCCCAAATTAATACAACCACTAGCATCAAAAAAAAAATGGTATGCAATGTGGCTGACGCAACAGATCAGAACGTTTAGCTTAAAATGTTGATAAACGATTAGGCTATGTCTTCACATTATAAGCGCAGCGATGCGCACATAGTAGTAGGCTATAAGCGCGAATGTTCCATTAGCGGAAAACACCATTATCAAAAGTGACGCAAATGCAATTATGCATGTAATGCTTTTATTATAAAGGTGCATTTTTATGGTGAAAATTATCTTCCCCAAACTTGAAACTCACATGCTGCTTATACAGTTGAAGTCGGAAGTTTACATATGTAACCGGTATGAAATGGCTAGCTAGTTAGCGGTGCGCGCTAGTGGCATTTCAATCGGTAACGTCACTCGCTCTGAGACCTTGAAGTAGTTGTTTCCCTTGTTCTGCAAGGGCCGCGGCTTTTGTGGAGCGACGGGTAACGGTGCTTCGAGGGTGACTGTTGTCGATGTGTGCAGAGGGTCCCTGGTTCGAGCCCAGGTAGGGGCGAGGAGAGGGACGGAAGCAACACTGTTACACATACACCTTAGCCAAATACATTTAAACTCAGTTTTTCACAATTCCTGACATTTCATCCTAGTACAAATTCCCACTTTATTTTAAGAATGTGAAATGTCAGAATAATAGTAGAGAGAATTATTTATTTCAGCTTATATTTCTTTCATCACATTCCTAGTGAGTCAGAAGTTTACATACACTCAATTAGAATTTGGTAGCATTGCCTTTAAATTGTTTAACTTGGGTCAAACAGTTCTGCCCACACATTTTTTATAGGATTGAGGTCAGGGCTTTGTGATGGCCACTCCAATACCTTGACTTTGTTGTCCTTAAGCCATTTTGCCACAACTTTGGAAGTATGC